CAAGTGTTTAACATGCCTTTCTTTTGATGTCACATTTTGTACACCATGGGTGTATGGTACTTTAGAAGCTTATGTAGTTTTCTTGACATGTAATGATATTTAAGTATCTACTTTTGACATTATAAGCATGTAAATAAAGAGGCCAAGGGTCAAGCATGTGTACTTTTGTACTTGTACTCTTTTAGTATCAAACTTTTGCTTCAAAGTGTATTTGAACTAATTTTGGAGGTTTAACATATTAAAATCTTGTAATTGATAGGTATGAGGCCATGGACTGTTGTTTTACATTCAAGTATTCATATCAAAGTTGTTGGCATATGCACACATTTGAATATCAATGAAAAATTAGTTTTACACATTCATTTTGAACCAAATTGTCATGGGATTCAAAGTATAGGTTGAACCTTAGCACCTTGGACTCATAACAGGTTTTCCAGTAGCATTTCGAGGTGTTTCAATCGACTGAAGCTCCATTTCGGTCGACCGATGGAAATTGGATTTGTCTATGCACAGTAACTCATCATTCAAGTAGCCAATTCTACTGTTCAAGGCCTATTTCGGTCTACCGAAACAACCAACACCTAAATTCATGATTTCAGCAAGTTTTTTTTGTTCATTTTGGTTATCCAAAGCTCTATTTCGGTCAACCGAAATAGCTTTCATACTCCAGCTTCTTCAGTTCAGTTTCAGTACTGCTGTTCCGACTTTGAATGGCCATATCTACTTCATTTCTTATCCAAATGGGGTGAATCTTGAGCCTAAATTCATGAATTTTGAGTTAGCTTTCCAATGGTTCCAATGCCATTTCGATATTCCAATCACAGTGGGAGTTATTCATATTTTAGTAAAGTAGTGTTAGTTTTCACTTTAACCGGGAAAGAGCGTTTTGTGGGACTCTTGGCCAATGTTCTTTAAACCCCTTGGAATGTTGGGAAATGATTACATTAGGTTGTATTCACCTTGTTTGACTTGTTTAGAGTCAATTTTTTTCTTTTAATTGTGTATTGACCATTTTGCCCTTTATTGACGAATTTTGCCCGTTTTAACTCTAGTTTCCTCTTTTGCTCACTTTAACTTCCGTGACCTCATGAAATATCATCTTGGTGTCTTAGAAATGGTTTTTATCTCAAAGGACTATGGTTTTATCTTTTTCTTCCGCGTTTCGGATCCGTTATCGGGTCAACTTTCGGGTCATCACTGACGCACCGGGTTGAAAAACTTGGGCCGTCACATGCGTTGTACCGCATGCTTCTATGTTACTTAAATTGCATGAATGACATGGTTTATGCTAGAAATGTTTTAAGGTAGCTTAGGATACTCCTTGAGTCTCACCTTGGACATAGACGCTAGGTGGCATGGACCTTAATTATTGATTTATATCAATTGAATAAACAGTAAAACGTTAGGTCTATGCATGCTTATCTCCTACGAGTAGTTTTATGTTACTCACCCACATAGTAGGGACATTTTTCAAGTACATGGACCATAATTTGGGATGCACACTACGGCTTGGAAGTTTTGTAGACTTGAAGTTTTTATTTCATGCAAATATTAGCATGAAAGGCTATTTTTAGTTTATAATGTCAAAACTTGTATATTTACTTCTAATTATGTAATGTGTACATAAGTACACCTTTTGAGTTGTATTTGATATGTATAAGATGAGGCCATGGCCAACGACATTTGATTTGTATTCTAAGCACTTTTACTTTCAAGGCTATTTTTCTAAAAAAATAGAAAAATGCAATGCTTTAACTCCATTACATTTGCATGGGTGGTGGGAAGTGGGTTTTAACACTTCCATAGGGACTCTTCAATCATGCATGGAGTTTAGCCAAGGGCTAAACGGTCATTTGAAATATTTTTATAATTTTAAGTTTCAAATTTTCATTTTTAAGTTCATTTTAGGCACTTTTGAGCTTTGATAGGTCGTATTTTGCATCGGTCATTTTTGGGAGCCGCGGACCATTTCCGCATGCTTAAAATCACTAAATGCGTTTGTGTGCATAATCGTTTTAGCTTAGAAATGCATTTGGGGTCAAATGAGCACTTGGTGCAAAGTTGCATTTTCCTCGTTTTTGGCCTAAACTTATCAGGGGCGTTTTGGGCATTTCACAACACGTTTTAAAATTTTCTTTTGACATGGTCGGGTAGAAAATGTGATTTCATGGGGGGTTTTTTCTTCGTATTTTTCCAAAAAATATCGTCTCGGACTCGAAAACCCCGCGTCAAATATGTTTTTCTGGTGCACGCATTTTTTTCAGAAAAAAGTCTTGTTTAAGGGGCATTTTGGGTATTTCACTTGAAGAATAAAAACTTCTCTTGACATGGTCATGTAGAAAACATGATTTTGGTGGGGGGGGGGGGGTAACTGCATAACTTTTTCCCAAAAAATGCTATCTAGGCCTTCAAAATTGCATTTCAAACTCAAAAATTTGTGCAGGCCAATAGAATGTCAGGGTGCTTGTCAGGATACTCGTGGGGGCCTTCAAAATTGCATTTCAAACTCCAAAATTTGTGCAGGCTGATAGCATGTCATGTTTCTTGTGAGGATGCTTGTGGGGGTGCTCGTTAGGGCGCGCGGCGTGCGCCGTGGGCGCCCATGGTGCCCCCGTCTTGACGTCTTAACGTCGATTTTTGTTTTCGCTCGTTCTTCTTCATTCGGACTCCAAATGAGATGAATTTTTTTTGAAGTCTATTAATTTTCCACTGTCTTTCCAATGGTGTGCTCAGTTACACCTGGATCTTTATGAAAAATTACCAATTTGCCCTTTTATGCTTTATTTTTGAGTCTAACTTGATTAATTTTTCATTGTCAATCTATTGGTGTACTCGGTTACACTTGGATATTTCTAAAAAATTACCAGTTTGCTCTTGTGGCTAAACTTATCCTATTTTCCTTTTTTATTGCTTCCGCTTGCTTTCTTTGGATTCCGTGACTTCGTGGGAAGTCACGGATGTGTCTTGGGAATGATATATATTTCTTGAGACGTTACTTCCATATAAAAAGGACCATTTTTCCCTTGGGGACTTCTTTTGGTCTTTTTCTGTTTTTTTATTCCGTGTTGGTTCTCGTGGAGTTCCGTGACCTCATGGAGGGTTACTTTGGCATCCCAGGGATGTTGTATATCCCTAGATACCCTTGTTTATGTTTTCGCTTCCACATTCCAGATCCGTTATCGGGTCAAACTTCGGTTCATCACAGGATGCACTGGCTTAAAAAACGAAGGCCGTCATAGAAAATATCTTTCAAAAATATTTTCTTAAAAACCCCCGAAATAAAATATTTTCAAAAGATATTTATGAAAAACACCCCAAGAAAGAAGAATGTTTCCGAAGAAACTTTGCATCCATGCTCCTATGGACACAGTGAACAACCAGCGTACTTTTCTAAAAAAGTAAAGATACGTATTTCGTGGAAACCAAATAGAATGAAAGTACGTAAAGTCAGAAATCAAATCGGAGCATAAAAAGTGAGGTTACGCGGAAGAAGTGCTAAATGGGGAAAAGACGAAAAAGGAAAATGTTCAAAAAAGAAAAGAGGAGACGGCACAGTCTTCACCAGGACGATACCAATCTCCAAAAAGAATAAGTGTCGGGAACTATTCTCAAGCACTCACGATGATCCTGTAACGACCCGGTCATTTGCCTTTCTTTCCTTTTTCCTGAAATTTTACGAATGAATTTTTTCGTTTAATTTTCTTTTCTGAGCTCTGTTTCGTGTCGCTTAGTGTTATCTCGAGTGCTCGGAATTGGTTCATGAGACTCTTTTTCGTGGATTGACAACTTCCTTTGAGGACCGAGTCATTTTCACATTTTTCATTTTTCGACACTATGCGCTATTTCGTCCTTTTCCCTATTCTGTCTTATCTCCATTTGTCAGTTTTTGGCACAACCTCACTTCTCATGCTTGGAGTTGCTTTTTGACTTCACGTGCCTTCATCTTGAGTGGTTTCATCGAAATACGTATCTTTACTTTTGCAAGAAAGTACTCTACTTGCTCCCGGTGCCCATAGGGACATGAATGCACAATTCTTTAGAATCTTTTTCATTTCTTGGGGTGTTTTTTGTAAATATCTTTTGAAGATATTTTATTTCAGGGGTATCTAAGAAAATATCTTTTGGAAGATATTTTCATTCTGGGGCAGTTTCGCAGTTAACCCTTTTTGTAGGGGTCATTGTGTAATTAACGAAAGTTATTACAAAATGTCTCATCTGGAGCCTGGATCCTCATACGGGATTCATTTTCACATTTCCTTGAGTCGTGGACTCTTCGAATTCCGTTTTGGTCCTTTTTCTCCAGTTTCAGAGTTTCTGGACCCGGTTGTCCCCGAACTTGTTCGGGGCATAACTTTCTGCTCGGGAGTCAGTTTTTGACGCTATTTCTTTCGTTGTTCATATTTTCTTATTTTAAATCTTTTTTGTTCACGGAGTTTTGCCGTTTGAGTGCGTTTGCTCAAAATTCACTTTTCTGGACCCGGCGGGGCCCTTCGGGGCACTTTTTGAGATTTTTATAAATAGGTTGCCCTAATTTTTAAAATCAGATTTTCAGACCTTCTTCCTCCTCTTGGCTGGAAGCCATGGGAGCCCAAGGGGCTGCCTTCACTCTTTCTTCTCCTCCACTTGATTTCCTAGGTAGAAATCCTTCGGCCTTAGCATTTGTTATTCGCCTCGTCGTGCTTTACCATTACCCCTTATTAGAAACCATTTTTGGCCAAGTTTTGAGTTTGGGTTTGAGGCCAAGTTTGGATTTTCATGGGGCTTCTTGGGGATTCATATAGATCGTGTTGTTCCTGACAAAATCCTTCGATTTCGGCGGATTCGGAACACTTTTTTTTCGGTGGGCCTTTGAGGTTTTCATCTCAAATTGAGGTAGGAGGTGTTATAGGTTTAATCCTTGTTATATAACATGCTATTGATGCTTATATAACTTGATTGCATGCTTAAATATGAAATCTAGAGATTTTGTAATTTAAATTTTCTTGTATTTTGCTACTAAAATGTGTCTGGCTTGGGATTTCTTACTGTCTAAGGACAGAATTTGGGTTGCATGGTTTAGGAATTGCTATTTGAAGAAGGCTTCATACTGGAATGTGGTTGTTAAAGGATCTTCTTCAGCTGTTTGGAGAAGTATTGTTGCTGTCCGAGATTTTATAAAGAGTAATTACAGATTTCAGATTGGTAATGGGCAAAAGACAAAGGTATTCCTGGATCCATGGTGTGAAGGGAAGTTTTTGAGTGAGATATTCAATCGTAGAACGCTAGGATGTCTGAGTAGAGATAAGAATATTTGTATGAGTGCTATTATCACTGACGGCCAGTGGGATGAAGGAATATTAGGCAACACAACGCAAGATTTGATGCAAGCATTCAAGAATCTGCTGATGATTGCTGGTGAGGATCAATTGCAATGGCATACTCCTCCTTTTGGGTTTCAAAAAGCTTGGGAAGCTGCTAGAGTGAAAAACCAAGAGGTGACTTGGGCTACTTTGTGCTGGAATGGTGGACGGCCGAGATGGTCAGTTCATGCTGTATTGATTATGCATCGGGCAGTTATTTCACATGATTTTTTGCAAAAGAGAGGGTTTGCATTAGCATCTAGATGTTATCTTTGCTATAATGAAGTTGAAAATGTGGATCATTTGGTCTGTGGGTGTGAATATGTTTGGAAGGTTTGGAGTTTTCTTTCACATGTTTGCTCATGGAACCTTCATAGAGTTTTTGCTTTGGCAGATTTGTTACTACAATTTGATCAGTCTCAGAGAAAGGATGTCAAGAAAATAATACCAAGTTTGTTTTACAGCTACACTATATTTTATATGGTGGGAGAGGAATAATAGATTACATGATAAGAGTATCAAGGAGGCTAAGGATTTAGCTAAGTGTATTCTTTGGGAAGTGTTGGATGTGTTGGGGGTTAATCTTCAAGACATTTGTAATTCGCTTTGATTGCTTTTTGTTTTATGTATTGATCCTAGGCTAGGATGTTTTTATTAGTGAGGGTATGCCCTTGCTTGATTCATTGTACTTTATTGATTATTTGAATATACTCCTTCATTTAGGAAAGAAAAAAAAAATTCTTGTATTGGATTTCATTTTCCCAGTTGCTTATGAATTGTTTTAAACATGTAGCATGGTAATATAGTACTCTATGATATGGTCATTGACATATATTAAATTGAGGAAATTTGAACAAGTATTAAAGATTTTATTTAATATTTAGCTTAGGTGAAAGATTAATTCACCTGGCTTTAACTAACTTAAAATCAATATGTGTCAGCATATTAAATTAGGCCTTAGTATGCTCTCCAACATAGTTGAATTTGAAAGTGATTGGAGGTGTTTTGAAAGTTAGTAATTATTAATTAATTTGCCCCGAGTGCATTATTCACTCTACTTGAATTCTGACTTGATATTCTTGATTTACATGCCATATAACTTCACATATATTTGATTTAGAATATTCGGTTAGGTTTTGAAACCTTTTATTTAATTAAATTCCATGTTTAAGATTTAATCCTCATGGTGATATACAACTTGGAATTGAATTGTGGCATGCTAGAAAATTAAGCTTAGGTATAGTTGTTCACATATATTAAATTGGGATTAATTGCATGAGAATTGCAACTTTTAATTTATATTTAACTTTAGTGAAAGTTTAATTCAAAAGGTCGTAAATTGAATAAAAAAAACTTGTAATGTGATATTACATTAGTCATTGGCATGTTCTCTAAGATATGTTAAATTGAGAGCATTTGGTTAAGTCTGAAAATCTTGAGATTTTAATTAAAAGAATTAATTAAAATCTATTTCGTGATCCCATTAGCTTAATTAAGGTTTTAACTTGATATTTGTATTAGCGATAACTTGTTTACTAGTATATATTAAATTGGGACTATCTGAAGTTATTTTAGAACCTTAGAATTTAAATTAGCATGATTTAATTAAAGTTCTACTTTGTTGTTATAACAACCTAATTGAGTTTTAGAATGAATATAGGTGATGACCTTGCCATTCCCTTTAACATGTATTAAATTGAGGTTAATTGAAATTGAATCGAAAATCTAGAGAATTTAATTGTGTTTATCTATTTAAATTCTATCAATTTGCGGCATGATCTAGTTGTGTTTTAGAAGTGGTTTCTATATTCAAATCATGGACTTAGACTTGTTGTATATTCATTTGGTTATGTTTTGAACATTGGATAATATAGTTGCTATGTTTGTATTCATGAGAATATGTTTTCCTTATTGAATATATTGTTGCCTTGTGTAATGATTTGCACATTTCGTATTTAACATCTTTCATGCATAGCGTGTAACGAATCGCACACTGAATATTCGACATTCATCATATCATATTAGTTGTGGATTTAGAGCATGTATTGTATAGGTTTCCAAATTTGGTTGTGCTTGGTAGATAGTTTATTATCTTACATATTCCTGTTGATATATGCGTTGTTGCACAACTTGTTGATTTAGGAAACTTGGGGATGTCGTTTTTTGACTATAGCTAGGACGTGGTTCTAGTACGGGGGATAGTCCCCCTATATAGTCTAGTGTGCACATAGGGAGGTTACCCATGGGCAAATAACCCTAAAGTAAATATGTTGTCAGTTTGATCTGGCGTGACGTCCGAGTATCCACTTTGTTTGATTTCGCATTTCATTTTCAAGTTGATAACTAGATGATGTTGTAACTTGTTGTTTCTTCTTGTCGTTCCATTTAAAGTTACATGATGTTAACTTTGCGAAATTGTGCTTTATGCGTTGTATTGGAAGTTCCAATGTTGGTTAAATTGCATCGATATTGAAAATTGTGTTTTGACGTTCTAATAAAGCTTAGGATTGATCCTATTGATTCATTTATAACATAAACACTAGGTAGCATGAACCGCTACTGTTATTTTGTGCTTTAGATTCTAAGTTGATGGCTTTGAGAACCTAAACCTTATTGCATTGTATAACATGCTTTTTTGTTATTAAATTGCGTGGATAATGTGATTCTTGTTAACTTGTATTCAAATATGCTTTTATCATGTTGTATGGATTACTCTAGACCTAGTTCACTTGTATTGAAAATGTAATTCATGTTAATCTATACTCAAGCATTGTTCTTGTCGTGTTCTTTGGATTATCCCAACCACGATTCGTTTCATACACGTATGTATATCATGATTCTTGTTGCTTAGACTCTAAGGTAGCTTAGGATGCTCCCCGAGCCTCACTTGGACATAGACGTTAGGTGGCATGAGCCCCTTTAACATGTTTCACCTTAAGGTGATAAATTTGTAAAATGCTAAGTCGACGCATGCTCATCTCCTACGAGTAGCTTTATGTTACTCACCCCTATGATAATGGGGCATATTTCAGGTACGAAGACTTGGTTCGTGACGCCTAGCATTCCTTGGATGTCATGTAGCTTTCAAGTTTTCATTTCATCCGAATGTTAGCATGAAAAGTTATTTTGTACACTTATATGTCAAAATATGTATATTTGATTCCATGTATGTAATGTGTACTTAAGTACACTTCTTTCAATGTATTTGATATGTATGAGATGAGGCCAGAGGCCAATGACCATTATATTGTATTCTATGTACTTTTTTAACTTCATGAAATATTGTGAAAATCGTGAAAAATCGCAAGTATTGCGTCACCATGGTTGCATCGGGTGTGGGAATTCCATTTTCATTCTTTCATAGGGTCTTATTGATCTTGTATGAAGTGTGGTTAAGGGCCAAATGGTCATTTGACTCCATTTTACATTTTTGGATTCCATGTTTTCCATTCCAAGTCCATTTTTGCCTTTTTACCCGTTGGGGGGTCGGAATTTGCATCGGCTATATTTTTAAGTCGTGGACTATTGTAGCACATCCAAATAGGTAAGTTACATTTGTGTGCATGGTCGTTTCCAGGCAAAACCTTATCGTTTGTGTTTTGAGCCTCTTGTGAATTCATTTCACATTTTTTTTTTTGCGTATTCTGATCTAGGGGCATTATAGACTTTTCACGGTTGTGTTTATTTTCTTCTTTCCATATGGTTGAATAGAAAACATGATTTTAGGGGGGGTTTCTTTTTCGTGTTTTTCCAGAAAATGTCGTCTTGGTACCGGAAATCGATCTCAAAGTTTAGGTTTCTGTTTTTTTTTAGCAATTTTTTGGACCTCCTTGACCAGATTTCATGGAGGAGTATTTCAGGCATTCTACATTGCGTTTTTTTTTAATTCTCACATGAGTCACGTAGAAAACTCAATTTTGAGGGGGGTTTTTTCTTTATGTTTTTCTAGCAAAATTCATCTACTAGCCCGTTTTTACTCTCTGTTCTGGCTGTTTCTAGAAAAAAAATGCATGTAGCAGCTTTTTGGGTCCATCTTGACCTAGGCTGTTTAAGGGGCATTTTAGGGACTTTACATCATATTTTTTTTGGTGTCCTCTGCACAGTTGGGTAGAAAACGTGATTTTAAGGGGGGTTTCTTATTCGTGTTTTTCCAGAAAAACTCGTTTAAGGGTCCGTTTTTAGCCTCGGTTCTGGAAAAAAATTTAATTAGTGCTTGCTGTTAAAACACTATTCCTACCCGGATTTCTTACCCGGAAAATAAGTTTATTTTTTTGAAACTTTGAGGCTTCATATCTTCTTCGTCCCGACTCCAAATCAAGTGATTTTTGAGTCTAGGTTTATTAGTTTTTGCTTTTCTATCCAACAGTATTCACAGTTGCATCTAATTCCATCTGAAAAGATTATTTTACCCTTTGTAAAGTACTCTTGCCGCACTGATTTTAAACTCAAAGGTTGGTTTTTTTGAAACTTTGACGTTTCATATCTTCCTCATCCGGACTCCGGATCAAGTGATTCTTGGGTCTAGATTCATTAATTTTTCCTAGTCTACCTATCGGTATGCTCAGTTGCATCCAATTTTGTCTAAAAAGACCATTTTACCTCTTGTCAATTACCCTTGCCGCATTGTTTTGAAACCCAAAAGTTGGTTTTTATGAAACTTTGGAGTTTCATATATTCTTCATCCGGACTCTGAATCAAGTGATTCCTGAGTCTAGATTTGTTAATTTTTCGCTGTCTTTCCAGTGGTGTGCTCAGTAGCACCCGATTTTATATTTTTAGAAATGACCATTTTGCCCTTGGGGGCCTCTTCGGTCTTTTTCTGACCATTCGTTCCCGCATTAGTTCTTATCGAGTTCCACGACCTCATGGAAGGTTACTTTGACTTCTTAGAGTCTTGTTTTCTATTTTCGCTTCCGCATTCGGATTCGTTATCAGGTCAACCTTCGGTTCATCACAGAACACGCCGGCCTAAAAACCATGGTCGTCACAGGTGGTATCAGAGCATCCAGGTTCGAATACCTTAGACGACGGGTTTTAGGTGCATATCATGCTTACGTTGTTTTGCTTTGATGTGTCATTTATATCTTGATAACATTCTTTGTTTGATAATATGTCTTGTATGATAACATGTTCACATGCTTAGGTGTTTTGAGACATCTATTATTTGTTAAGCATACTTTATATATATATATGCCCTTGATAACATATTTTGATTTGATAACATGTCTGTTTGCTTATGTGGCACCTTGAGTAGATAGTCCATTGCTATGTTGCATGTTAGCTATTTACTTTTATGTCTGGTTTTAACAGTGTCTCTTAGGATCTGTCGTATCCCTTGGATGCCTTCTTGTTTCACGAGTTTCTTCCTTGGATAGGAGGAATTCATTCCGTAGAGACCCATATAGGGAATCTTCTTGTCTGTTCTGTCGGTTGATGCGAGTGAGGCTCATGTGAGCGTAGAATCGCAGTCATTTTCTGGTGGAATGAGACGTGGGCCA